TCATACTTCATTTTTTGTTGCCTAGTCTTACCTGTAAAAGGCATTGGGTGGGCTTTGATAGTGTTCAGCAGGCGTAGGCCAGAAGTGCTCAGGTTGGCTATGCCAGAACAGCATGATGACTTGCTAGATGTATATAAGGAGTGATCGGGGACGTTCACTTTAAATGTCAGTGATCCTGTAATGTAAGTTGTATGGGGATGGGACCAAGATACTCCCAGGACAAGTGTGTTCTTATACAGCAGGTGGATGTCATGAACAGCTCTGTTATTGGCTGCTTCTCACCTGTTCTCTCTTATCATTGGTTGATCAGAATAGGCTCGCCCTGCTCTCGGAGTGTGTACAGTGTGTGTGTGTGTATATATACACAAAAAGAGACATCGCACTGTGGGAGCTGTTTATATGTATGCAAGGACACACAGACTTTCCTCTCCCTGTATACATTGAGGGGAATTTATCAAAACTGGAGCAGTTACAATTTGGAGCAGTTGTGCACAGCACCCAATCAGTTTCTATGTTACATTGTCTAATTTGAATGGAACAAACTGAAGAGAGAAGCTGGTTGGTTGCCATGCACAGCTGCTCCAGGTTTTGTCTGCTCCAGTTTTGATAAATTTCCCTCACTGTATATATAGATTGTGCCGGGACAGAGGTAGACCTCTTATCAGCTCCCGGGGAGATGGACATCTCCAGCCAATACAAACATAAAACAAACTTGTGAGCGGCCTGCAAATATAAAAAACGTGTAAATGATTGTGGAAAGTTACATGGTTTATGATCTATTTCCTGTAAGCCAATTTAATGGGCAGTAAAGTGTGAATGTTGCCTTTAGTGAAATGTCATATCATCTGCCTCAAGAGCACTGAATGTGAAATCTCTTACGCAGAAAAACTATTAAAGATTATCAGAGCTTGATGATTCTTGAAGGGTAATTTACCTTTATGCACATCCTCCATGCTTTCCATCACCCCCAACACATTGCAAAGCGCTGTTCAGATATAAAAAAAAGCGCCCTCCTTCCCATTGCATACCTGTATGCAAAACCTCTAGTTTAGAGGTGGGCAATTTCAGCACTCCAGCTTTTGTGGAACTACAAATCCCATGAGGCATTGCAAGACTATAACAGCCACAGGCATGACTCCCACAGGCAGATGCATGATGGGATTTGGAGTTTCACCCCAGCTGCAAGGTTGCCTACTCCTGCTTTAGGTGGTCGACCTCCCTCCAGCCTGGTTAAATGACAAGACGGGCCAGACATTAGAAGTGTTCCCCTAGTGGCTGCTCCTGGATAGTTCTCTTTCTCCCTCTAAGCCCCCATTTGCATATGGGCATATCGGTAATATGCGTCTGTTTCCCGTATTTAGTGCGCATCCACATTCATTTAAATGGTGGCAAATATTGCTGAATGAACACCTAATGTCACGCATGTCGCACATTTTTCCACATGCGTTCTGCATTTTTATCTACACATTCATGCACATTTTATTGGGTGAAAATGCGCTGGAAAAAAGCATGTTTGCTTGGCTGCATTTGGGGTGCCAATACTAGTAACTGCACTGCAGTAATGGCACCGCGAGCTTGGTGTGCGTTTCATGAATGCGCGTCAAAGTGTGCACCCCTTTGCGGGTTTGGCGCACGGTCACAACATGCCCATATGTGGACAGGGGCTTACAGCTGCAATTGAGCTCAGGCGGGTGGAGAGAGAAGAGGGAGAGGGAACACGGGGGATATACGTTGTCACTTTTATCTTTCTTGCTGGTTGCTTAAAGGAGAACTATGAGGTGAGTGCTTTTCACTCACCTCATAGTTCTAGCCGACCTGTGACAATGAGACTGACAGGGGGAGGGGCTGGATTCCTCTCTCCCCGCTCTGATCCTCCAGCGCTGACTGGCGGAACTGACGGGGGTGGGTACAGCTGGCTCTGCCTCTAGATAGGCAGAGCTAGCTGTCACTCATGCAGCTGGGCGGATCCAGACATAATTGTCGGAATCCGCTTCAGCTGCGGCGTCTCAGTAAACCGCGAGCTGTAGCACGCGGTATACTGCGGCGTCTCAGTATACCGCGAGCTGTAGCTCACGGTATACTGAGCTTAGGGTGACGGGAGGACGCTAGTTTGTGTCCTCCCGTTACCCTAAGGAGAACTATGGGGAAAAGCCCTAACCCCATAGTTCTCCTTTAACCCCTTCGTGACTGCCGCCGGGAGTCTGTTTAAATCTGTAAAGCCGACTGTCGGCTTTACAACAGAAGCGATTCTGGTGACTTACCTGTCGCCAGATCGCTTCTGTGTCCCGAAGAAGGGGCCAACCCCCCCGCCTGACACCCCGTCGTGCTTCCCGGGCTCCGTTGCCCCTCCTACGGGCCCGGGACCGGCGTCCTTGGTGTCCGCGGGGAGCTGGGGAGGAGGTCAACGAACTTCCGCTCATCGATCCCCTCCCTGTTCTATGGGACCGGGAGCGATGCAGATTGCATCACTTCCGGTCCCTGGGCTGTCAGTTCTGGGCTCCTGCAGCCCAGCTATAAGCTATTGAAGTGCGATCTGCACTTCAATAGCTTATTTCTAGTGTAAAGGTGACACTGGGGGTCTTTTGGGGATGGAGGACAAGAGCTATGAGGACAAGAGCTATGAGACAAGGCTACTAAATTTAAATATGTTCACGCTGGAAGTAAGGAGATTAAGGCCCCGTTTACATTGCATTTTGCGCGATATCGCACGATTTGTCGCGCGATATCGCGCAAATGCTTGCATTGAGCAAGCTTTAATCGCGGCTAAATCCACTCCAAAAAGGGTCCTGCTGTAGCGACACACGACCCGCGACAGCAGGACCTGTTGCCCCATTGAGAAGCATTGGAGAGCGATATCGCGCGGTAAATTGCAGCGATATCGCGGGAATTACCGCGCGATAAATCGCTCAATGTGAACGGGGCCTAAGGCCCCGTTCACATATAGCGACATACCTTTGCAGCGTCCGGGATAGCGCGACTTTCGGGGTGACGTTCCAGCGACGATCCAGCGACGGTAGCGCGACCTTCTCCGTCGGGCTCCATAGAAAAAAAGCAAAATCCGCCGAAAAAAGGGTCCGGTAGAAGCGACTTGCGACCGCGACATGGAGTTAAGACAGCTCCATTGAATAGCATTGGCCGGCGACTTCTCGCGATATCGCGCGGCAAAAATGCGCGATATCGCGGCGGAAATCGCGCGACCTGTCGCTATATGTGAACGGGGCCTAAGGGGGGACATGATTTTCATGTACAAAATGTTCTATAGTCATAGCGACATTAGCAACAAACTCTTTAAGATTAATTCCGTAAAGCTGCCCACACACCTTACAATTTATCTGCAGATTTTCTGTGGTCAGATGGAAAAGGTGCAACAGATTCCTCCATCTACACTTAGCTGTGTGGATGGAGTAATCTCCACCTATGCCAATCTGTTTCACTTTTTCCATCTGACCACAGGAAATCTGCAGATAATTGTGAGGTGTATGGCCAGCTTTACAAAGACTAGAGGCCACCACCTAAAACTGGTAGAAAAAAAATTCAAACACAAGGGGCGAAGGGGGTTCTTCTCAGTTCGAGCGGTTAGGGTCTGGAACTCGTTGCCACAAGCAGTGATTTCAGCTAATAGTCTGGAATCATTCAAGAAGCTTTTGGACGATTTCCTAAAAGACGGTAATATACAGGGGTACAGGTACTCCTAAGAACGTGATGAATGAAGGACCTATACATACACACACACAATAGGTTGGACTTGATGGACATATGTCTTCATTCAACCTCAAATACAATGTAACTATGTAACACCCACATATGTGGGCAACAATGCCCCCAAAAAGTATAGAGGGCGCAAACAGTTGTCTGGATGAAGCTCTAGACAGAAGATATATAAAGTTGAGTTCAACAGCTGATTGGTTGTTTGTTTTCCCACCACAAATCAGCTGCGAATCAGGTGTGACATCAGCTATAAAATCCTCCCAGTGACAGCTGACTCCAGTGTTCCTGCACAGTAAAGGTGCCCATACACCTTACGATTATCGGACGAAACTTTTCGTCCGATGATCGAATAGTCGTACGATTTTCGTACGGCAGCCCCATCCTGCCCCGATGATCGCAACAATCATTTAGCTGTAATTAACCAAAAGCACCTGGACGAAATGCGGTAATTGATTTGCCGTATTTTCGTAAGCGCAAGCGCAGTGTACATCGTACGACTTTTGACGGACGGAAACGCCAGCAACCTTACGACAATCGTACGATCTAGCAACGTTTTCAAACATGCTTGACCGTCAAAAGTCGTACGATTGTACAGTATTGTTGGTCGGACACTGCAATGCACACATACGATTATCGGACGAAAAGTCGATCGCATACGATTATCGTCCGATAATCGTAAGGTGTATGGGCACCTTAACAAGAGGGGTGACCTGAAACAGACAAAAGGGGAACCAGAAACTGCCCCAAACCAAGTTCTAGAAACTACTACATGTTAAATAGTGGGTTCAGGGGGACACAATCCCACGGGGCCTCTCCATGAATTGTGTGGCCCTAACAAAAGACACATACAGGGTCTCTTCTGTCACAAAACCCTACCTGTCAATTGTTACTTCCACTTTAAGAGCGAAGGGCACAGTACTGGGAAGAGGTGTGAATGCTGTATGAACATAGGAAATGAGCTGTGAAGGAACATTCTACCCAAAATTAAATAATCCCACACCTGTAGAGAACTGACATCTATTAACCACTCGAAATCCCCTTCCTGTCCAGGCCATTTTTCAGTATTCAGCGCTGAGTTACTTTGACTGACATTTATTTCGTCATGCAACTCTGTACTGAAATTATTTTTATACCATTTTTTGGGGACACATAGAGCTTTCTTTTGGTGGTATTTAATCACCACTGGGGTTTTATTTTTTGCTATATAAAAAAAGTACAACATTTTGAAAAAAAAACGTTTCCGTCTGTTATGTTATGAAACATTGCAAATAAATATTCTTGGAATTGCAGGCGGTATATTATAGTCAAATAAATAACTACACAGACACCAACAGTGTCCGCAGCACTTTTATTGCTTTAAAACGTTAACTGAATACAATCATACCATTAATAGCTTAAAACCAAACACCAGTTAAAACCAACCGTAGATTGCTCAGTCATAAAACTCAAGCAATATATAATCAATTATGAACCAGACTTAAAGTCCCCCTCCTATAGGAGGTG